TTTGAGGCATGAGGAAATTATTTCTGAGACTGTAACGTCATCTGGTGAGAATGACAGGAAGAGCTGGGTATCGTCAGCATACGAGTGGTATGAGAAGCTCAGTAGACTGGCCCCTCTAAAGCGTGACTGATTTGGCTCATATTCTAGACTCATTTTCTTTTATATATGTGATGCTCATGTGAATCCTCCCTCAGTGTCTCATCAGCAGCTGTAACCACAGAGACTCTGATCAAACAGGAATCATCAGAATCCATCTGACATGAAGCTGTGGTTTGAATCCCACTTCCCTCTTCTTTGAAGAGTAGTCAGATATCTGTGTTCAGGTTTTTGTACATGCTCGTCTACACTTTGTATCAGTGTTTCTAAAGCATAGTAGTAGAGAGCTGTGTCTTCAGGGGTTAGCTCTCATGGTCATTTCAATTGAGTAGAGGTAAACATATTCTGATGTTGTCTCATAGTTACATGTAAGTGTGACAGATTCTCCTTCTGTTCCTCTGACTTCATCGACTGTAGGATAGATTTTGTCTCCACTGCTGATCCTGTAAAAAGTGTAGGAATGGACACCATGAGTCTAAACATTGTTAGTGAGGCTGAAGGGAAGACAGTGAATAGTGTCAACTCTATAGTTATAGTCAGAACAGACACATGTCAACAGTTCAGAGATTCCTGCTCTGAACTCCAGTTTACTTATTTAATAAATAGAATCATTAAATGTGTAGTTCTTTTTATCTCACCTTAGGAAAGAGCAGCCAGAAAAATCCACAGCCAAAGTTCCATCTCTACAACAAGGTTTGAACCAACAGGAGAACCGAGCTGATGTTCAGCCAGAAGTGTGAGAATAGTTCACTTTAGCAGCTGTTACACATGAATGCTTGAACAGAGTGCTGAGGTAATCTTCCCCCTTGATAATGTTGCCTCTAGTGGAGATAAAAAATATTACAATTGTGTATAAAAGGACTTCCAGCAAGTTTTTGTCCGGACTCTATGAAGGCTTTGAACAGTTTTACAAGACCAATTAATCTAAACCAAAAGAAAGGAAACCTGATCAAATAATTTAAAAATATTATGGTCAGCATATAATTAAAAATTGAGAGGACCCAGGAATGAACCCTGTGGAACACCTCAAGAAATTAAAGCCCACAAAGAACAAAAGAGAAACTTCTTTAATAAATATGAAGACAAAAGAAATCAACACCAGAATCTGTAATGCAGGCTGTTTAATAAGTTACTTTATTTAAATGATACACTTCAACAGTGGTAAAATTAAACACCAGAGTAGATATGATGATAAACAAGCTGTACTTTGTAGATAATTAATATTATATTCAGAGTAGTATTAGTTTATCTCCTGTCAGAGAGCCTCTTTATCATCACTACAAAACAGTCGAGCCAACATCTCCATACCTACAGTTGAAGTTTCACAGTGTGTGCCTCCCTCTAGTGGATGTTGTGGAGTATTGTGTTGTCTTCTCTCCAGAGGTTTTTGTACAGAGTTGTGGTGTTTCCTGTCACTGTGGGCCTCAGAGCACAGTAGTACACAGCAGAGTCAGTCAGTGCAGCAGAGGAGATCTCCAGATTTACTCGTTTCTCCGTTTTGTTAATGTAAGCTGAGAAATCAGAATCTGTTGGATGAATCGATCCTCCCTCTGTGATGTAGAGCAGGAACTCTGGTCTGGATCTCTGGTTTTGTCTGTACCACTGGATGTTGTAGATTAGACCATCATATGTACAGGTCAGGTTGATGTTTCCTCCCTCTTCAACCTTTTCTTCAGTTGTTTCTGGGTTTATGCTGTTCATGGAGCCCAGGGCTGCAAAATAAGTATTATACATGTCTGTTAGTCTGCAAGAGATTCAGACATCAAGAGACTGAAAATCAGTCCTCTACTTCATCAGTCATCTTTGATCATTTTGAGATTCATGAAGAAAACAAAAGTCTTTTTCTATCAGTGGAATTTGTAGCTCCCACAGATAAACATCTACTTTGAAATAGTTGTTCAGATATCTGGTCTAAACAGCAGGTGAAATTAGAGTTTGATGTGTGTTGTAACACTCACCTATAAAGTGAGAGCAAAGTAAAAAGAGGTAAAGCAGCATGTCTTTGGAGTTGTTGAAGACAAACAGACAGCAGATGAGTAATGTTCTTCTAAACTAAACAGCCTCTGTGCTGCACAGATGTTCTCCTCTACTTTGACATGATTTTAATTTGACTTCCTCAAACTTTTCTGCTCTGGAGATAGACAATCTCATTGGTTTGCCTCAGTGGGCGGGGCCAGAGGAACACCTTATTTAGAACTTGAACTTGTTTTTAACTGGAGGCCATTGTGAGTTCTCCCACATTTACAGAGGTGAGGTGCTGTAAAGGAAGAACTAGTATGAGTTGGTGCGAGTTGTTCGGTCTGATGTTCACAGCTTGATTAAAAGAGTTCTCAATCAATCTTTATTTGTATAGCACCAATTCATAACAAATGTTATCTGAAGACACTTTACAAAAGAACAGGTTAAAGACCTTACTCATTGTTATATTACAAAGACCCAGTTCTCTGTCATAAGGCTCCTCTGCAGTCAGTAGGAGGAGACTCATATCAAATCATTTTCATTTCTGAAGAGTTTTATCACAACTGTATCATGAGGGAAAATAATCTAGACTGTATCAACACATACAACTAAAGTTTATCAGTGTGTGACTCCCTCTAGTGGATGTTGTGGAGTATTGTTGTCTTCTCTCCAGAGGTTTTTGTACAGAGTTGTGGTGTTTCCTGTCACTGTGGGCTGCAGAGCACAGTAGTACACAGCAGAGTCAGTCAGCTGAAGCTTCTGGATCTTCAGAGGAACTGATTTCCCGTTGATTGTTGCATTAAATCTGTCTTCTGAGATCCCAAGAGCATTTTGTGACAATCCTGCATAACCTTTCCACAGGTACTTTGGGAAATCACCCATTTCTTGTCTGTACCAGAACAAATAGGGTCGTTGAAATGGTCTCAACTTTACAGTCAAGTGTGACTGTGTCTCCTTCAGAAGCAAAGACATCTTCTGTTGGCTGGATCACTCTGTCTTCTCCTTTACACTCTGAGAAGAGAACAGAAAGAGGAAGAGATGAATTGTTGATTGATTAAAAAAAGGATTGAGGTTAAATACGTTATGTAGCTTTAAAACAGACACACAAACAAGTGAGGAGTAAAGGAAATATGTTATGCTATAGTTTCTCACCAAATAGAAGAGCAGCCAGAATAATCCACAGCCAAAGTTCCATCTCTACAACAAGGTTTGAACCAACAGGAGACCTGATCTGATGTTCAGCCAGAAGTGTGAGAATAGTTCACTTTACAGCAGCTGTTACATATGAATGCTTGAACAGAGTGCTGTGGTGATCTTCCCCTTGATTATGTTGCCTCTAGTGGAGATAAAAAATATTACAATTGTGTTTAAAAGTTACATCCAGTAAGTTTTTTCCAGACTCTATGGCCCTTCTTCAAACCAAACCCTCCTTCTCCTTCATCAAGGTGTAGGGTAGAAATACAGCGGCAGGCTTTAGGAAAAACTTCCCTCTCTCAGGTGGAAACAGGAACTGTATGTTACCATGGTTACTCAGGTATCTTGCGGGAACGACTTTTTTTTGTAGCTAATGCATTCTGTAAAAATATTTATGTAGCCTAGATTATTCTTCTTTTTCAGTTATATTAGTGTAGACTGGTAACAAAACTATTAGATTGAGCCTACATTGTTTATTGTAATTTATAATTTCAGTTAATTTATTGTAATTTCATAGAACAGGGTGTCCTAAATTAATGCAAAGACAAGGATAATATTGTTGAACATCAGAGCATCAAAAAGTGTATTTTTTATTGTTGAATTGAGATTTCACAAAGACATCAAAAGTAGAAAAAAAGAAATAAATGTTCACAACAAAGTTGTCTGCAACGTGATTTAATATTCTTTTGTTTTTGCAACAGTCCCTGTAAATATGAAACACAATAAATAAACATATATTTGATCCTCAATACAATACACATTGAAGTTGTTAACGCCTGTATGAGGATATTAAATGTCTATATTAGTTGGAGCAGTGTTTATAGGCACTTGCACAAACTCACAGGTTGCTTCATCCATAACGACCGGACACAATAGGCATTGCACGTGATCCGAAAGTCGGCATGGTGCACACTGCTGGTGGAGGGTTTTATAACCCACTACCACTCCCCGCTAATTGGTTTGGGACGGACTTAATATGGCGGACCCTCCACGGGGACGCGCAAACGGGGGTAGTGCGTAGGGGTAGGGTGTAGTGGCCGGTTTGAAAAAGGGCCAATGAATGTCTTGAACAATTTTACAAGATCCATTAATCTAAACCAAAACAAAGGAAACCTGATCAAATAATATTAACAATATCGCTGCCAGCATATAATTAAAAACTGAGAGGACCCAGGAATGAACCCTGTGGAATACCTCGAGAAATCGCAGCTTCCAATGAACAAAGACAAACTTCTTTAATAAAGCGCAAGACAAAAGAATGCAGGAAGTTTACTGAGTTACTTTATTTAAATTATACAATTCAACAGTGGTGAAATTAAACACGAGTAAATATGATGACAAACAAGATGTACTTTGTAGATAATTAATATTATATTCAGACCTTCAGTTTATCTTTAGAGCACAGAGAACAGTCCAGCCTACATCTCCATACTACGGTTGAAGTTTATCAGTGTGTGACTCCCTCTAGTGGATGTTGTGGAGTATTGTGTTGTCTTCTCTCCAGAGGTTTTTGTACAGAGTTGTGGTGTTTCCTGTCACTGTGGGCCTCACAGCACAGTAGTACACAGCAGAGTCAGTCAGTGCAGCAGAGGAGATCTGTAGATCCAGATGTATTTCATCCTCTCTCACTGTAACAGACAGTCCAGAGACTGGATCTGATAGAAGTCGTCCTGTTCCTGAGTGAGAGATGATGAACTGTGGTTGTTTTCCTGGATATTGTTGATACCAGTAAATTCATCTCCAGCTTTGTGGTTGTGAGTATCTGTAGGACAGAGTAACAGTACTGTTCTCTAAACTGTACTGTTCATTCTTCTCTGGAGCGACTTCTTTACAGCTGATACCTGGAGAAAGAATAACATTTGGTAATTTGGTTTTTCAAACTAGAAGATTTATTGTTCTGCAGATAAAATGTGGGTTATTTTCATGCTCCTATATCCAACATACCTGATATAATGAAAATATATAGTAGTGAAAAGACACATAGATGCAGTGACTGCATGCTGAATGAAGTAATGTGTCAGTGTCATGTATTGCAGTGTGCTGAATATTAAAGTTCCTTTTCTTTGTATAGTTCAGTAACAGTTTCGCTCCTCCTTGAAATGTAAGTTTTGATATTTCGATCAGACTTTGAAAAGTATGTTTGAACAGTGACTCCCTCTAGTGGATGTTGTGGAGTATTGTGTTGTCTTCTCTCCAGAGGTTTTTGTACAGAGTTGTGGTGTTTCCTGTCACTGTGGCTCCAGAGCACAGTAGTACACAGCAGAGTCAGTCAGCTGAAGCTTCTGGATCTTCAGAGGAACTTATGTCCCGTTGATTGCAGCATTAAATCTGTCTGTCTGGAACTCAGAAGCTTTTTCTGCTTTGTCTGAGTAAGATTTCAACATGTATCTCGGAAAATCATTACATTTTTGTCGATACCAGAACAGAGTGGGGCTTGTTCTAGTGGTCTCAAATGTACAATCAAGTGTGACTATGTCTCCTTCAGAAGCAAAGACATCTTCTGTTGGCTGGATCACTCTGTCTTCTCCTTTACACTCTGAGAAGAGAACAGAAAGAAGATATTTATTGTTTAATGATTCTATAAATGAATATTTAGGATTCTAGTTAACTTGCCTGAGAATCATACACACAAACATGTACAGAGTAATCAGAATATGTTCTTTGTCTCTCACCTAATAAAAGAGCAGCCAGAATAATCCACAGCCAAAGTCCCATCTCTACAACAAGGTTTAAACCAACAGAGGAACTCTCTGATGTTCAACATTCAGTCTGTGATTTGTTTTCTTCTCAACAACAGTTTTTTTTCAAGAAGGGTTGAACTCATTGCTGCAGTAGTAATGCCGCCCTCTGGTGGAGATTGAAATTGCAGTTTTAACATTTAGAAATGCTCCCAGCAGCAGGTTGTCATCATGTCAGCTTGTGTTTCTGTACAGAGTTGTAGTGTTTTCTGTTTTCTGGCATCCTGGTCCAAGAGACGTTGTTGTCGGGAACATCCTGATGCAACCGCATTTTAATGACGCACATCAAGCTGCACTCCCGATACTCCCTCTGACTCTGACAGTAAAGTACTAGAAAGTTAAAAAAACAAACAGGAGCAACTGCAACAGGCAGCCTGTGCACTGTCATCAGCAGCTGTAACCACAGAGACTCTGATCAAACAGGAATCATCAGAATCCATCTGACATGAAGCTGTGTTTGAATCCCACTTCCCTCCTCTTTGAAGAGTAGTCAGATATCTGTGTTCAGGTTTTTGTACAGCCTCTTCTACACTTTGTATCACTGTGTTTCTAAAGCACAGTAGTAGAGAGCTGTGTCTTCAGGGGTTAGCTTTCTAATGGTCAGTTCAGTTGAGCTGGTGATGTTTGAGATTCATATCGTTTATCTGGAATATATTCATAATTCATAATCTCTGCTCCTTTCCGAGTATAAACTGAGGTGCCTGGAGGTCAGAATGATGTCTGTACCAGTAGAGGTAAACATCATCGTATGTTGTCTCATAGTTACATCTGAGTGTGACAGATTCTCCTTCTGTTCCACTGACTTCATCGACTGCAGGATAGATTTTGTCTCCAGCTGTTAGTCCTGTAAAACGTAGAGAAAATGAAGCCATTAGATTAAATATTGTTCAAGAGACTGAGAAGATGAGACAGTGGAAAATATCAGTTGTTGGTCTTACTGCAAGAACAAAATAATTCAAATGTTCATAGATTTCTGCTCAGAACTTAAAAACACTGAAGACATGTTGTGCTTTATATCTTACCAAAGAAAAGAGCAGCCAGAATAATCCAAAGCCAAATTTCCATTTCTAAAACCAGGTTTAAACCAACAGGAGGAACTCTCTGATGTTCAATGTTCACTGTGTTGAAGTGTTCTCTTTACAGCAGCAGCTGGTATTAATATAATGTTTGAACACAGTAGTTCATTACCTGGTCAATAATGTCTCCCCCTGGAGGAATTGTAAAAATGTAGTGCAGAAATTCTAGAAGTGACATCCTGGAACGCGTCTCTGAACTGCATACTGGAACACATTTAAAATGTTCTGAACCTGATGCACATGTTAATGAATTTATATATAATCCATTCTTACTATTATTACACAAATGAAAATAGATCAAATCATTTTTAAAATATCAAAGTCAACACATAAAGAAGAAATGAGGACACAGGGTTGAACCATGTGGTACACAGTAATCAATCATGTGTTTCTAGATGTTT